ATTGGAAAATAAGTGGGGTGTATTAAGATAAATTTTTAGTTAAAAAGTAGATGTAGGGTGTATTAAGTAGGTGGGGTGTAGTCAACAAAATATGGGGTGTTAATAAAAGAAGCATTTTTTTATTTACTAAAAAACGGACAAGAGAGATTAGCTTTCACCCGAAAGGCCATGAGAGAAGACTGGCTAGAGGAGAATAAAATCTAGAAAACTGTCTCAACCCCCATGAACGTTAGCTGAACATGATTGATGAGAAAACTTAACCAAACAAAACTGCAAGGACGAAAATACCAAACCATAACGGAAACCAAGAACCAATACCTTAAAGCTGGAAAACCAGGAAAGACGATGACATACGAAGCAATAGCAGCAAGAAATACAATGTTTGTTTTAGGGTTTTAATCTGAATTTTTTGTGGTGAGAAGGAAAAATCACAAGGAAAATATGGTGGAAGTATTGTTTAGGATGAAGAGGGAGGTGATTGAAGACATTGCAATAATATGGGGGTTGGTAGGGGTGTGTGGATGCAAATTTCTTCCTCCTTGATCTTGGACATAATTGCACCTACAAAATAACTAATACCTTTGGTTAAAGCCAAAAGCTTCACGTGCCCACGATCAATGGGGGAGCTTTAGCCGAAGAACCTCTGATGCTAAAGTTAGAATTTAGAGAGAAAAGTATTTAGAGAGTTTTTGGGAGTTTTGCAAGAGTGTTGGAACTAGCTTTTTAGAGAAAATGGAGTCCTATTTATAGAGCATGACTAGCCCTCTTTGGAAGAAAGAGTGGCCGGCCCTTGGGTATTTTTGGGGGTGTAATGGATGATTTAATTGGTGATTAATGGATTAATTAGGAATTAATCCATTAATTAGCCAATTAACCTCCACTTAAATGGAATGTTATGTAGGTTATAAAATAATTACTTAAGATGAGGATGGATGAGAATATCTTTGAATTTGTTACCTATCTTGGACACTTTTGACTTGATTGATGGATGATTGTCCGCTGCTCGCGCGTAGGAATCTCAGTATGCCTTAAGGGTATTTTTGTCCTCATTTATCCAAAAATTCATGTGTCGCCTTGTGATTATTTTTGGCTCCACAAATGCCCCCACACCTGTTGGGCTGCTTGTAGGAAATGGCAGCAGGTGTAGAGATCTTCTTGCTTTATGACACATAGGATTGCTTCCTTTTTTGATGTAGATTCGCTCTTTAATAGGAAATTAGATCATTCTAGGAAAGGGAAATAAATTTCTCTCAAAGTCTATTTAAGTCCACCTTAAGTGGGTTATTAAATCAACTTTGGAGAGCGATTTACTCTACCCTACAAGAGAGAGAGAGCTTAGAGGATATTTGTTCCCCCTCACTTAGCAATCTTCTACATCTTGCTCGTGCAAATGACCGTCTTTCGTTGATTTCTTCATCTTCTCCGTGCCGCACCGATGTAAGAAAAATTTAATTTTTCTTGTCTTTTTTTTGGATAGTGTTGTCGCTGGGCAGTCGTCGGGATGGTACATCATGTCGGCTGGCAGGGGCCAGGAGTCGGCTCGGCATGGGCCGATGAGGTGTTGTGGCAAGGACCACTGCTTGGGCAGCTCGGCTTGGTTAGAGCCAAGGGCAGCTTGTGCGGCTGGGGTAACAGATTGTGGCTCTAGGACGCAGTGCTAGGCGAGCCGTATAGCTTAAGTCTTTTGGGCTCTTGGACCTGACTCGGGCCAGGCTAGCGACTGAGAGAAATAAGTAGGTTATGGGAGCTCATGGGTTGTTGGAATGTTGGGCATGCAGGCCTCCTGCCTGCTAGAATGCTGGGTTGAGCTCCTCTGTTGAGTACCTTGAATATCGTTGGCTGCTTAGTCCTCTTTGTCGGGAGAAATGTAGGCTGCCCCTGAAAGATGAGGTAAAGAGGATTAAGGCAGATGCATTGGCTCATCTGATCACTGTCGTAGAGCTTACTATGAATGAAGGTGGAAAGAAGAGATATTCCCCGCCTGCTCAAGAGATGCTGGTTAAGAGAAAACTGAAGACTTTTTCCACTGCTCGTGACGGTCTGCCTGCTGCCGAGAGGTCTGTGATTGGCAGAACTTCTTCCGATGGGAAGAAAAATAAAGTTGCTAGATCTGAGCATGTGGTGCCTGCCATCGAGAATAGCTAGTACGATTGCTGATAGGATTGCTTATCGTAGAGGTCCTGTCGTGCCCCCAATGCCGAAGTTTGTACCAAGATGTTCGTTAGGAGTTAAGTCTGGTTCACCTTTGGAGAGGCTTGCTGTTATGAAGAGCGATAAGGTGGACTCTACTGCTAAAGTGGCGTTAAGACCCACTCCCTCTACTGTAGAGACTGACTAGCCTGCTGGACTTGCTTGCTGGAAAAGAAGAGACTGTTCGCACGGGCAGCTGTGAGAAATTCACTAATCCTACTTCTGGGGAGGTTGCTGAGATCCATGTACTTTTAATACCATATCTGCTTGAAGACATGGACCATTGTGCCAAGTTTGTTGATAGCGTTAGAAAGGTTGTTTGCCCAAGTTTCTTTGCTAACCATACGACCCAATATAGAATGACTGCTCTGCTTTCTATGATGTAGATGTAGCAAGGCTGTCAAGGAGGTGGCAAAGACTATGGCAGTTGAAGCTTATTCTTTGTTTGAGGAGATCAAGAGGTTGAATTCTGAGCTCGTTTCTTTGAAGGGGTCTAATATTTCTGCCCCTAATTCTCTGCAGCTTGAGACCGCTTACCAAGAGATCGTTGACTTGAAGACTAGGCTTGACGCGATCCAAGTTAAGTGTGAAAGTACAGAAAATGAGATTGGATGTTACATACCTTAGATTCAAGATCTTGAGTTTGCAGTTTCTGAGCTTCGTTTCGCTGCTTATGCAAAGGATGAAGAGTTGATTGCTGCTTATAATCAAGTGATCCACTTCAAGAGAATCGTTGATAGGCTTGAACACTAAGTGTTGGAACTTCAAGGTGTACTGAAGATCAACGAAAGTCTGAAAAAGAAAGTGGATGAGCTGCAACGCGTTCGTGTTGGTCTATTTGAGGAGAATGAGCAGCTAAAGGGTGAAAATGACGGGCTTGAGGTTTCGAGACCTTCTCTATTTCTTCAGAAGACTTTCTTGCTTTTACTTTTGAGGCTTCCATTGGTGAAGTAGTTGGATAAGTTGGTGTACAAGTTGGGGCAGCCGGGGGTGAAGTGTTGGATGATGCTAAAGTGTAGTCCTCTTGGTAGCCTTTAGGATTTTTTATTTTTTTGCCTTGTAGCTCTTGTTTTGCTTGAACTCCTTTGGCCTTTGCTAATTGTTTATAAACATGCTTCATTCACTTTTCGTCATCTTCGCTTCTTTTATTCATGCCCTAACCTTTAAACTTTATAGTCCAGTGGCAGACGTGCTATTTTTTTATAAGCAGACAAACTCGCATAGCCTATGCAGCTGTAGGTGTTGGTGTAGAACTTTGCAAAGTTGTTAGCCATAGGGTTGGCAGCCGGATGCCTTACTTACAGAAGTAGACAAGTCCACGTAACCACTAGACTGTTAACGTTGGCTTTCTTCAATTCCGTAGGTTGTGTAGCAAGTATCACAACACTTTAGGACTTGGTGTAGGTTGTTCTGTGCTTGGCAGAGGTGAAGCTTATCGACTACGTAGCATGTTGGGAGTGGATAACGCTTCGTATATGCATGCTAGCTTGTTTAACCTTTCACAAGAATGTGCGGTTGCATAAATCTAGCGTGGTTTTACTTATCGAAGGGCAAGCCGTAGGCATTCTTCCGGAAACCATAGGCTACCTTAGTGCACTCGGTAGCAACTTTAAGGTTCCAAGGCAGCTGTAGGGCATACTGCATAATGTGCTCCCTCCGTCTCTAGGGCTCGGTTCCCCGTGGATTAGGCCAAGAGATCTGAAATCCTTCAGTTAGCTAAGCCTTGAAAAAGACCATTATGGCTACTTCTAGGAATCTCGACGTAAGCCATCGTGCATCTAGTTATACTAGGGCAGCCAGGCTTATCCACGTTTGGATATTCAGAGTGTAAAGTTTATCCTCTCGTCTTGGAAAGCTGACCCATGTAGGTGTCGGGGAATTGGTTTACCCTCTCGCACTTGAGAGCATGGTTGGTCTCTTAGGGAGTTCAATTCCTGCGATGAGTCCCTAAGAATGGCATGGTATTCTTTTGAAATGCAGGAGTGATCAGTTGTTGTAAGCATGTAGCCGAGCCAAGTTGTGATTACTTCTAAATTCCTCATTGAAAAATGAGTGAAACGAACGAGAACTTAGTTGTAAGGTAGGAACTGCATAACAACTGGATAGTCCTCGACTTATGAGGTGGTGGTGGTGCTCGTCGAATTGCTTGAGCTTTCAGGCTTTGATGTAATGGGAGGTGATGTAATGGGAGGTCACATATGGTACTTTCTCAGATTGTAGGCATTCCACTGCTTTTCGATCTTTTTGTCATTTCATGATGGCAATGGTGTAATTACTCTTGCTGCCTGTTTTGTTGATCTTGCACGGACCTTCCCAGATAGGATCCATCTTTTTGGAGCCTTCTCCTCAGGTAGAGAATTGCCGGATCTTAGCCTTTTTGTTGTAGCTGGAGAGAAGCTGCTGTTGGTAGGTTGCAATACGGGTACTGATCTGCTCGCGCTTCTCCTCTGCCAGATCTAAACTTGTGACCATCTTCTTACTGTTCTGCTTAATGCTTGGTAGTAGAGCGATATACTTGGCTTGATGACATTTGGATGAATGATTGCTTCCGAACCAAATGCCAAAGAGAAAGAAGTCTCACTGGTTGCTCGTCTTTTGGTGGTGCAATATGCCCATAGACATCCAGGGAGTTTTTCTAGCCATTTTTCCTTCTTGTTGGTGAGGGATTTCTTGAGGCAGTAGAGGATCATTTTGTTGGACGTTTCGACCTGCCCATTGTTTTGAGGATATCTCAACATGGTCATATGCTGCTTGGTGCCATATTCTTGGAAGAACTTCTCTAAATCTCTGCCTATGAATTGCGGGCCATTATGGGTGACGATGGACTGAGGGATGCCAAATCGACAAATGATGTTCCTTCATATGAAGCGTTCTGTGTCCATCTGAATCATGATCATCATGGGCTCTACTTCTACACATTTGGTGAAATAGTTTATTGCCACGATCATCATGCCTCTGCCCTAGTAGCAGGCAGCATAGGTCCTACCAAGTCGATTGCCCACTGCATGAATAGCCAAGGACTCATCTGCTGGTGTTGCTCCCTGGCAGGCAGTGCTGGTACCGGCTTGTAGCGTTGGTAGCGGTTGCACTTTTGTACGAACTCCTTAACATCTTGGTGCATGATAGGCCAATAGTAGCCTATGGTAAGAGATTTTTGTGCTAAGGATCGGTTTCCGGAGTGGTTTTTACAAACACCTTCGTGGATTGAGCTTAGAACCTTCAAGTCGTCGGGAGGCGCTAGGCAGCGGAGATGTGATCCGGTGTGGGATCATTGGATGAGAATGTTGTGACACTTAAGCTGCTGGCTCCGTCTCTATGCTTGGCTTGTCAAGATATTCCACCGGAATAGAGCGTTTGAGTTGTTGATCGAGGGTAAAGCCTAGGCTGGCTAGTACGTCTGTGTAAGCATTGTCTGCCTGTGGAACTTGATTAAGGGTGTAAGTCTGAAACGCCTCAAGCAGTCTTGCTAGTGATTAGCTGGGAATCAGAATGAATTGCGAGCTTTTTCACTGCCAAGTCTCTTGCCATTCTGAAGCCTGCTAGTAGGGTTTTGTACTCTGCTTCGTTGTTAGATGCTTTGAAGCTTAAAGTGATCGCCTGCTCAAGCATTGAGCCGTCTGGGGTGACAAAAATCACGGCTGATCACGAGCCTTTGTAGTTGGATGCGCTGTCAACATGCAAATGCCAGAAATCTCAATTGAGGGAGCGGGTGCAGCTAAAGTGTGCTTGGCTGCCATGGGGGCATCGTTGGGCCGCTCTGTTGGGTTGTCAAGGCTAGGCGTGAAGGCGCGATAGGGAGCCGTGGAGCTGGGGCCATGTTATATGTAGCAGGAGATGCTCAATTACCAGTATGGGCCACTCTAGAGCTGAATAATGGAGCAAGGGTCGGCTAGGGCTGTGTGACGTGCAGCAGGAGGTAGTGCTCAACTGTCGGTACATATTGCTCTTATATAGAATCTTCTGGGGTGACGAGGATAAAACTTGCTTCTGAGTGTTCATTCCAGTGTTCATCTACCCTTGGCATGTTTTTTGGGCTGAGTTGTTGCGTTCGTTAGAAAACTTTGCATCCACCAGAGTCTACGCCTTTATCGTCACACGTCTGGATTCGATAGAATAGGGCGTCATGATGATGACTGCGTGCATTTGAAGGTAAAACTTGAGCTTCCAGGTTACAACAACTATCACCAAAGTTAGCTTTTGAATTTCTAATAGCATCGAGGAGAGCTTTTGAACTATAGAATACAGGTAGTTGGGTCTTCAACTTTTCTCGTATGATAGTAGAGATTATTACTGTTTCAGATATCGTCAAACATGCGAATGAGTCCTTCGCTGCATTCGGTTTAGATAATATGGAGGTGATGTCGGGTACTTCTTCAAGTCCTTGAATGTGCATTGGCAAGCCTCGTCTCAAAGTGCATGCTTTTTTGCCAGAGCGAAAGAGTCTGCTAGAGTTAGGTCTTCTTTCATGATCAATTTTCTGAATAGCGAGTGGTCTGCTGGAATTCATTTTTGGAAGGCTGCTCTAGCTATCGAGTCGTTGCATCCTACTATCCTTGCCTTCTCTGCTTTGAACCTCCTCACATAGTTGCGAAGCGACTCATTTGGGTTCTTCTTGACGTCAAACAAATGGTCAGACTTTTTTTTTTATTGAGCGATAGGATGAATATTCTTTGGTGAAAACTAAAGAAAGTTCATCGAAATTCCGGATGGATTGTGGCGGCAGGGTGTAAAACCAATCTTGCGCCTCGCCTTGTAGAGTGGTGGCGAATATCTTGCACATAAGATCATCGTTGTTTCGATATAGGATCATTACGCTTCGGTAGTGATTTAAGTGTCTCTCCGAGTCTTCATCCCATTTGAAAGATATGAAATGTGGCATGCTAAACTCGCGTGGAGGCTCTGCCTGCTCGATCTCGTCCGTGAAGGGTAACCTGCTTATGTTGGTCATGTTCCGTCGTAGTGCCTCGTTGGTGACCTCGTTGCGTTAGAAATTACGTAATTGCTTGGTCAATAGTCTCTCTACTTCTTCTTGAATTTGCCTTTGTTGAGGTAGTGGAGCTCTCGGCTGCCCCTAACCGTGACTTGCTGGTCTAAGCTGCTCTTTCATGTGTTTGGCTCGTCTATGTCGTGGATGCGGTGCATGTAGCGTGTTCCTAGCAGGTGAGCGAGTTCTTCGCAGCCTGCCGGTTGAACTTAAGTTGGATTGAGTGACTGCTTCTCTCCGTCCATTGTGTTGCCTACTCCGATGTGAGGTGGATAATGCTCCTTGCGGGCTTAGCCGCGAATGAACACTTCACCTGGAAGGTTGCTCATGTTGACTATTGGAGTGTGGCCCCAACTATGAATGTATGCTCGTCTATAGGCCTAGTCGAGAGTGCACACTCATCTGCACTCTAAGATGGGAATATACAATATCTCGGGGGCCCAATCAGGAGTGTAAACTGCCTGAACGTTCGGTTCGTGGCTGGTCGAGTGGCTGCTTGCCGGGATGCTGCTAGAGAGGTTCTTTGTCTGCCCTTGTCTTACTTTAAGACACCTCGTCTAAAGCACCTTACATCTCGGTGCACTGCAAAAGCAGGTTCACCAAGGTCGTCTGCTGTGCGAGGGCGCTCGTCAACTCTATAACTTGTTGAGACAAGTGTTATTCTCTATTTGGGTTAGAATAGCTTGGAATGAATACGCCTTCTTGAGCAGTGGAGGATGCTCCTTGTGGGCTTAGTCGCGAATGAACACTTCGCCTGGAAGGTTGCTCATGTTGACTATCGGAGTGTGATCCCAACTATGAATGTATGCTCGTATGTGGGCCTAGTTAAGAGTGCACACTCCTCCGCGTTCTAAGACGGGAGTATACCTTATCTCAAGGGCCCAATCGGGAGTGTACATTGCCTGAACGCTCGGTTCGTGGCTAGTCAAGTGGCTGCTTGCCGGGACGCTACTGGAGAGGTTCTTTGTTTGCCCTTGTCCTACTTCGGGACACCTCATCTAGAGCACGTTGCAAGAGCTGGTTCACCAAGGTCGTCTGTTGTGCGAGGGCGTTCGTTAACTCTATGATTTCTTGAGACAAGTGTTGTTCTCTATTTGGCTTGGAATATCTTGGAATGAATGCGTATTCTTGAGCAGTGGAAATATGGTAGACTCCGGGTGCGAGATTTGAGTTGGGAAATGCCAAATCCGCATAAAAATATGGTGAAAATGCTCCTAGTTTGATCGTCAATTTAGAAATTTGGAGCCGGGATAATTGAACTAATCTTGGATGGATTTGGGCTACTTGGAAAGCCACGGGAGCAGACTGGGCTGCAAGAGTAAGCTGGGCCACGAGAGTGGGCTACTCGTCGGGAGCAGGCTGGGCCACGGGAGTGGGTTGCTCGTCGGGAGCATGATGGGCCACGAGAGTGGGCTGCTCGGAATGTGATGCACATGGGTGCGAGGCTTGGGCTCGGCTTGGCAACGCATTGATTTTGCGTTGGGCTTGGAATGACATGGCTTGGGTCGTGGCCTTGGTGTCGTGAGCTTTGGATGGCACGGCTCAGGCCGTGGTGAAGGCGCCATGGACCTCGCCATGGGTGGCTACCAAGGTAGCCACCGCGGTGGTTCCCATGGTGGAAATTTGTGGTGGTGCCGCTCCACTTATTGTCGCATTTAGCCTCGTGGATCGCCATGGTCCCATTCCTTGGATATTAGAATTTTCACTCGTGGAATTTTCTAAATTTCTAGCCATTGTATTCTTCTTTTATGTTTTATCAAAGAATCTTTGCAAACAAAAAATTCTAATAATAAGAACGTACGAAAAAATACAAGTAGACTAGAAAATAGAGAAAAACCTTTTTTAAGCGAGAGTCTTCTACGAGTGTGGTTTTCTTTTCTCAATGAAAGCACCAATTTATGGATACAATTTTCTTCCTCCTTGATCTTGGACAAAATTGCACCTACAAAACAACTAACACCTTTGGTTAAGGCCAAAAGCCTCATGCGCCCACGATGAATTGGAGGGGGGGGCTTTGGCTGAAGAACCTCCGATGCCAAAGTTAGAATTCAGAGAGTTTTTGGGAGTTTTGCAAGAGTGTTGGAACTAGCTTTTTAGAGAAAATGGAGTCCTATTTATAGAGCATGACTGGCCCTCTTTGGAAGAAAGAGTGGCCGGCCCTCGGGTATTTTTGGGGGTGTAATGGATGATTTAATTGGTGATTAATGGATTAATTCCTAATTAATCCATTAATTAGTCAATTAACCTCCATTAAAATGGAATGTTATGTAGGTTATAAAATAATTACCTAAGATGAGCATGGATGAGAATATCTTTGAATTTGTTACTTATTTTGGACACTTTTGACTTGATTGACGAATGATTGTCCGCTTCTCGCACGTAGGAATCTCAGTATTGTTGGAAATGTGCCCTAAAACCAATCATATGATGATACTTTATGGACATTTCACATGTTAAACTAATCTAGTTTAACTATAAAGGGCAAACATTATTGTTTGAGCCGTCTCATATAAATGTTATATGCTTAAACGATAAAGTCCAAGGAATATGTGATTGGGAGAATACGATCTAAAGAAGTTAGATTCATGAGACCATTCTTTCGTAGACACATCCTAAATGTTCTTGATCATAGGATTGCCAATTGGGCATTGACAGTCCGTTAAGATCAGTACGTACTGTGTCTTCTCTCAGGGAGAGTGACTAGTCTCGAGTCATTGGTGTGTGTGACATCAAGACAAGTACGTAGGTGCTCAATAGAGAATGAGTTCACTGAACACGATCAACGAAGAGTTCTCATATTCATGTCACATGAGAACTCATGGTTGGGATAATGCAAAGTAGTCCTTTGACCTGAGGCATCACAGCTGTCTTATGGTTAAGTCCTTGATCTTTGATTATGTCAAAAGTCACTCCAAAAGGAGGGTGTCCACGGCATCGTTGGGGTTAAGCCACTTAGTCATGGAGGCAAGTGAATGCGCAACAAGGGATCTCTAACCTTCAAACCGTTTGAGGGAGAATACTCTATGATATGATTAAGAATCTTTGGCCAAAGTATGAATGAGATTTAGGAAAGCGTTCCAAATCACATTCAAGGTAATCATATAAGCACACGAATCACATTGGATAGTAGACATGAATAAATAAACTATCAAACCAAACAATGTGGTCAAGAGTATTGTATTAGAGAAAGACCGTATTGCATTTGTAATCCTAAACTGAATAGGTTCTCCACCTCTTCTGATTAGCTTGGGTAACTATGATATGCTGCTAGGTGTCACTCATGGTTTGTGGAAGCCTTAAACGTGTGTAATCACTAAAGGGAGAATTGAAAGTAAGTTTCAATTCACAATCGATGTGAAATGGTTTTAATCGCCCACTGCCTCGCTGAAAGGAACCTAATGGATCGTACACCGTGTAAGGTGAAGATTGAAGAAACAATGGAGATGAGTAAGAATAATTAAATGGTTTAATTATTTATGTAATGGAGATGAGTAAGAATAATTAAATGGTTTAATTATTTATGGCAAGGATTAATTAATATGTTAATTAATCAAACGAATAAGTTCGTTAAAGACCTCGGGATAGTTTTTTGGACCTTAAGGCCCAATGGGCTTCGAACGTCAAGCCCATTGACTTAAGTTGTATACAACTTAATGACTAAATATTCACAAAGGCCCAAACAACCCAAATACACCCTAAGGCTGGCCATATTGTTAAGGGTAGTGAACTTGCACTTATTTACAAGTTTGCCACTCAAATGAATAAAGGTATAAATATGACTTTATAGCCAAAATTCATTTAAGGTTTGTTTTGGAGAAAATTGGAGAGAACATGTCTCTCCATTTCTCTCTAAAGAGGCCGGCCCCTTGGAGGGTGCATCTAGCAATCCCACTACTCCAAGGTCACTCATTTCTTCTCCAATCTAACCTTGGTGAAGAGACTTAGAGGTTCTCAATTTTGGGAACTTGGAGAAACCTTTTCATCCATCCAAATCCATAGATTTAAGATGCAAGGAATGAAGGCCCTCTCTTTGGATGATTAGCCTTTGCTTATGCAAAGAGGAATCTACAAAGGTATAAATCTCAACTCACTTTGTTTTGAGTTGATTAATGGTTCACCAATCTACTAGGCTTTGAATTTCATGGTTAATGTTTTGTTTTTAAATGCATGCAAGCATGGTTCCGCCTTTAATTGTTAATTGCATGCTATATGATGTTATTCAAATGAACATGTTTTCACAAAATAATCCTTCAAGTATGCCTCAAGAGTATTTTTGTCCTCATTTACCCAAAAATCCACGTGTCGCATTGCGATTATTTTTTGCTCCACAGGGTGCAATTTGTGTATGCTGGGAATGCTGTGTTGCTAAGCTATGTAATGTCTTTTGGGCTTGATCCTCTCACCATTGTTATCTTCTCTACCTTGGCCACTTTCATCATCCTATGTCCCATTGCTGCTTATTTTGAAAGGTACGTAAATACGCAATTCTCTTCAGCGAGGATATTAATAATTAAAGTCATTATATTAATTAATTTCTCGGTTTTTTTTAGATTAAATAAATATTTTGGTTTTAGTAGATTTCGATGTTTGATGATACATTTGTGGCCGAAGAAAATCAGCTTGAAGTTCATGATACGGTTGGTTTTGATCGCCTTTGGAGGGTACAAAATTTCTAAAATCTTTTGTTTCTAGTTAGTTATCCTTTGCATAATTCCCTTGAATTTTATCTGGAAACCACTTTTAGATTCACTTTTTTTATTCTGTGCTACTTTTTTTCTCTCCTGATAATGTGGAAAGTGAAGGATCACTCGGTCTAAATTTAGGATATGCAATCTAATTAGTGTTCTTCAATTTCACCAAACTCTCGATGGATTTTTTTAGGGTTTTTCTTCTATATTTCATTTGAGTTATTTTAAGCTAATGTATTTTTTTTTTCAGAGAACAAAAATAAAAAAGTATTATGTATTTTCCTGGTAAAAGAAGAGGACAAGCATAACTGAGAGTTTTGATGATTTCATATGTGTATCTTTTTTACATGGAAATATGTTTATGTTGATCTCTTTTATTTTTCGTTTGAAATTTCATCAGAACTCATTATATGTTGTGCAAGTGAGCATTTTTCCTTTTTATTCTCACCACTCTGACTCCTAGATAACTTGGGACAAGAATTTCATTAGCTACAACTTGTTCTCGAAGAAGGCGGAATATATGTCCCAAAGCTTTGGTTAATGAAGTTCTTACACTGGTTCGTCCATAGGTCTTGAAGTAGCAAAAATATGATTGGGAGACTTTGGACACGCTCCTTAACTATGAATATTTTTTAACTGAAATATTGTTGGTTTTCAATTTTTAATCAAAGTCCCTGAAATTAATATGATAATTTATTTATATGTATGTTACTATATTTTTTAAATTAAAATTTGAAATTTATAGTTGTTTATGTTAATGAGATTTTAAATAAAAACCCATAATTTGTGGGATTAAAAATTTTAGAATATAAATTATTACTATTGTGTGTGTGTGTGTGTGTGTGTAAACATGGGTACATTCATCAAATTAAGCAAAAAATTATTGTACCAAAACATGGGTACATTTTTCAAAACCACAAAAAAAAAAAATGTTAGGCTTAATAACATTAGTAAATTTCTTCAATTAAACTTGACATAGATGCATTCTCAAATCAAAGAAAAGAGAATGTACCCATATAAGTTTAAAAATGGATTAGAAAAAAAAAATTATATATATATATATATAAAGAGTACATTTTACTTATAACAAATTGGTATATTTAAGAATGAGTACATTTTAAGATTAAAAATTTGAAAAAAATTACATAATGGGTACATATAATGACACACCCCGATCCTAGAATCAAGGCGTGCTGGCCGTCACGTGGGCGTGACGTAACCAAAAGTGTGACGCAGAAAAAATAAATAAGAGAAATATGAAGGAATAAAAACCAACCACTAGCAATAATAACCAAGTAACGTACTAGAGTGAGTTTAAGTATGAAACACACATATTCAGAGCATAAGTACTAGGTGCAGTCAAGTAGGACCATAACTAAATTACAACACCCGCAGGTGAGTCCTACATTTATGTAGTCTGTCAGTACGCCGTGGAAATCTTCGTGGGCCACCAACGCTGCTATCTAGAACCTGGAGGGGCGCAAAACAAAATTGAGTGTGTCAGTAAGACAAAGCTTTTCGAAAACATTTCAATTTAACAACATTTCTAAACCTTCACTGTAAAACCTGTATACTTTCTCAGAAAATAATATAATATGCATAAAATTCTTCAAATATCTCAAATCACCAATTTTTATCAAAAACCAGAAAGTATGCCATGCCATAAGAGTCAATAAAAAAATAAGGATGCAACATATTAATAGGTGAAATAAGGAATCAACCGGAGACCCTGCAGTTGGTCCTGTACGGTTAATTCTAAAGCTTAATATCCAATCCAACTGGAGTCACCACAGTGACCTGTACGGCGCTACTCTGCACATAAATCGGAACTACCTGAAGTAGTCTGTATGATAAGAAATGTGTAAGAATACGCTCTAGTGCTTCTCTCATCAACAACTGTATAATAATCTAAAATCACCTACAAGTCGGAACCACCTCTCGTGGTCTGTACGACATGTCGGAACCCTCTGTATAATAATCTAAAAGCACCTACTTGGATCCAAGGTGAGCGTTGATGCGAAAATTACTTGACACACAAATTAAACCCTCTTTTTGACAATTGTAGTAAAGATGTAAGTAGGGTATCGTTCTAGGCCGGGGATTAGGAGGGATTGCTAATCTATTCTAAATTAATTTAAAAATATTAAACAAGACTCAAGGACACAAAACTAGGCTAAAAACTCTAATAACTCGAAACACACTTAGAATGACTCAAAATAATGAAAACAATCAAATTAGACACTAGGAACTAAAATGGACGGAAATTGAATTAAAAGACTAACAACAATGAAAACTAACTAAATAATATAATTTAATAATGGATGGGTGTTTGGTTTTGATGAAAAGTAAATTAACTTAATTAAATTACAGAATTGACAAAAACATGAAATTAAGGTAAAATGATAAATGATGGATTAGCTAGAGGGTTTTTCTCCACACATGACACATATGCAACCTAAATTGATTTTCAGTTGTTCTTTCAATAAATTGTAAATCTCAACGCCCCAAATTAACCGTGAATTGCACTAATTAACCCTCAGTTTTTCCACAAGTTATTGGGTTGGATGATTGCATACGACAACCCAAAACATTCCCTACAAGTTCCCTACATGAATTGCATAATAGAGATACAAGCAAGAATCATTAAGTTCTATGAAAAACATAAGCATTGACGAGGCACTCGTTACTATGAATTGCATGAAACTTATGCCAAGAATTTACTTAACGTGATTGTGACTAGCAACCTTCACTACTTGTGAATATAAGTTCATAACGATTAGGTGAAATTCACTTATATTCTAGCATCAAATTCATGCATGTAAATTAAGTATGCATCCTTAATCGACATACAAAAATAAGTTATAAATCAAGCAGTTAAGCAAATTAAATCACAACTCAGAAATCACAACTGAAGGTAATCAATTCATATTACAAATATATTCATGGCTTTGAATTAACCTCTAGCCAAAATAAATTTAATTACACATTATTATCAAATTAAACCAAAAGTAAAACATAAGTTGGAAAGATTTAACCGAGAGAGGAGAGTGCTTCAGTCTGTCCGTGCGCCTGCCTTCCAGCTCTCCCTGACCTCACTGCCAAAGGGCAGCGTTCTTCCCTTCTTATTTTCTTATTCTGTCTGCGCCCTGCTCCGTCAGCCTTCCACGCTGACTGCTCTCTCCTCTGGTTTCGCAAGTGTCTCCCTCTCTCTCCCCGCCAGTCTTTCCGTTTTTCCTCTGCCTAAGGCAGCTTACTCTCTCTTCTTCACGCAGCTTCTTGCTGCTCTCTCGTTCCTGCGTCTCTGCGAGCTGCCCAAAGGGCAGCCCCTTTCTCCCGCTCCCCAGACCCCCTTGTCTCTTCCGCTCCTAGCTAAAGCTGCCCAAAGGCAGCTTTCCTCCGAGGCTCCTGCCCTCTCGTTTCTCCCCCCTTTTTGTGCTGCGCAGGCAGCGTTTTATTTATTTTTCTTTTCCGCTGCACTAAGCAGCTTTTCTCCTCCGGATTGAATCGTGGCCACTTTCTTATTTTAGTTTCCTCCACCTACCACGTTGCACAAGCAGCTATTATTCCTCATTCGTTTTCTTTGTCACGCTGCACACACACCTTTCCTTTATTCTTTTCTTTTTCTTTGTGCTCCCACTAGCTGCAAAGGCAGCTTCTATTATATATTTCTTTCTTCCACGCTGCCAAGCACAGCTTATTATTAATCTTCTCCCCACTAGTTTTCACCAAACTCGGCATCCCTACATCCCACCTGAAACATGAAAGAAATAATTAATTATCATGAATTGGCCTATAATCCGTGACATAATTCTACCAATAACCCATGATAGAATGAGAACGACTAAAGCAATTTTCGACGAATTTATTATTTAAAACTCATTTGTGCCATTTTTATTTTCTTTGCATAACAAATCCTATAAACACAAAAATAACGTAAATAGCTCAAAAATATAAGGAACTAACTAAGAAAAGACGAGTGAATTTGAAGTAAAAATATATATAAATATGATCCGATCAAGCGTGTGGTGCGGGGTGAATAATATAAGCATTAACACCAAGGGTGCAGATTTGAGCTTTCAATACAATTCACATCATCAATAAACCATATGAATAACATAAAACTCACCTGATACTCACCTGTGCGTCCACAACACCAATTCACATATATGCATCAAATACTAATTCATATATTTCATATAATATGCATGCATGACATTTTAAAACATACTTTCCTTAAAATTCGATTTCTGGGAAAAATCAATAGCATATAGGTAAATATAGAAAATACTGCCCACTCACTGGTAAGTTGAAGGGTCGTAACCCCCGTGATGTCCTTGAATGCGCTCGTCCTCGGGATAGGTATCACCTATATGCGAAACAACTATAAAAACGTTATTTAAAGCACATAACTGACAATACGTAATAACTTCTCATACGATGCTCAATTTGGGTATATGAATATACCACAATGACCTACTCGACGTCACGGACGTCGAGGTATTTTTAGAAAAAATTTTGGACTTGCCACGCGCCCCCACGCGCCGGAATAGGCACGGGTCCAAGCGCCCCCACGCGCGTCATCCCTTACCTCTAGTCGCCAGAAAAACTCGCCGGCGCCAGAAACTGTGTAGACTTGTAATCGCTCTTTTCTCACTCGATTCTCAACCATTTTCCATGAAATTTTCACCAAAACTTCAAAAATTACGAGAGGAAGAAGGCTATACCTTTAAAAACTTCCAAATCCTTCGAAATCACGTCGGGAAATTTCACCCAAAATCGGCCACCTTCGAAACTTGTGATCCTGACGTCCAAAACCTTCAAACGAACGTCCCCGAGCTTCGTGAGAACCTCCTAAAGCTCACTGTGAGCTTGGATTGTCCTAAAAACCAACCATTACAAAGTTCATGAATAGTACTCAAATCGGACCTCGAGTTTTCAACGTGAAATCGAAAGGTTTCTTACCTGAAATGGGTATGGGTGAGTTCGTAGGGTCCTCACGAGCACAATGGTGCCTTCAAAACCTTCGATCCGTGCTTAGATGATCGTGGGTGAATGTGTCCGTACGGTTCGACAGGGAGAGAGAGAGAGTTCTGAGAGAAGGGAGAGATATACGGGATAGGAGAGAGAGTGTGGGGTTTACTTTAAAAGTGTGGGTGCTCCTAAGTCCCTAGCCACAAAAAATATAAAACAAATTTTTAATCCAACTCAATTTTTCAAAAACTTAGGGATGTATACATTTATCCGAATAACATGTCACACGTACCTTAATAGCCTTTAAGGGCAATTTCGTCATTTCACATCCATGATAAATAAATTTCGGGACGGGCTGTGACATATAAGATTAAAAAAATTGAAAACATTTAAAAAAAAAAAAGCTAATGGGTACAAACTTATTATAATTTTTTTATTTATTTTTGGAAATGTTTTGAATTGAAAATTAGTTAGGAGTTTAATAAAGGTGTGAGTATTAAAATTCTAAATCAATTATTAATTTTTATTTTAAAAAATTATGTAACTGACATGTAAATGCATTTATTGCATTAATGTTAAGGACTTGGATTAAAATCTGAAAACTAACAATAAACATTAGTAACTAAGGATCAGATACTAATTTTTTCTTAAAAAATATTACATGCGCTAGAAATATGTTTTGACTAAATTGTTAACAAAAATTAAGGGAAATGATACATTCACACTAGAATATGAGTTTGTATGGTAAACTGACAGGATTTTTAGTTTGTAATGGTATTTGCGCGCACTCCTAATAAGTGAGGTGATGTTTATGCAAATTTCCCTTTGCAGACACTGAAAATGTAAAGGTTGAGATAAAAAATAGGAGAGTGCGAGTGATATTAATAAAGCACCCTGACTAGTCGTGTTTGTCATATTCGTGTCGCTTAATGAATCGTGTCATGTCAAATCCGTTATCTTAACGAGTTTTTAACAGGTGACTTGTTACTTTTATGTCCTTTAGTTTTCTGGTTATAAGTTGTGTAAGAAATTACTAGGCTTATTAATACACAATAATTTTTTGTCGGAAAATCAAACGGTAAAAATTTCATATATAGCCACTTGAGCTGCATGCCTTTTACATGTTTTAATTTATTGAAGTACATAGAGTATTCTTCATAAAAAAAAATCGAGGTGTTCGATAACCATTTCATTTCTATTTTTGTTTTCCCTTTATATCACAAAGTTGTAATCTCTTTTTGATTTGAGAATAAAATGCAGATGCTATGATAAAAAAATAAATTTTTTTTTTTTAAAAGGCCACTTTCTTGAGTTTTTCAAATTTGGCTTGGCTTTGGTATCTGAAACTGTAACCAAACAAGTTTTTAGTTTTCAATGTTTTAAAACAAAGGAAACAAAACACTGAAATGATTATCAAATGGGCCCGTAGTGATGATTTTTGGTTTTGAATCAATATAAATTAACTTTTGAACTGAAATATATATATAGATTCTTTAAATTCAAGGGTGGTGCTATATATTCACACACTCTTTTTACCTTTTAATCATATTCTGTTAATTTCTGTCATTTGACCATCTTCAATTCATTTAATTTCACGGTCGAAATTGAAGGAGGTTTGTGGAAGGTAAAAAAAGGTGTAAATTTGCTACCACCCTAAATTTAATTTGTTTTTACACTTTCATGTCCTCTTCCTTCTCTTTAAAAAAAAAATAAACGTAGAAAGCCATGAAAGAAGAAGTGGTAGTAATTTGTTTTCTTGGTTTCTTGTTTTGCAGGTTGACTTTGTTCCAGACATTATTTCTAAAGGGAATCCAGTTTACCTCACCAGCAATGGCAGCAGCCATGCCAAACCTTTCTCCTGGGTTTATTTTCGTCATCGCCTGTACTGTTAGGTATTTAACCTTACATCTTTTTTCTTTCTTTCGTTTTTTTCCAAAGTAAATGTAATGGTAAGAAAAAGATGAAGACAAAGAAGTGGCAAACTAATCGAATAGTTAACATAACATGCGGATAACCATTTGGTCTGATTAGTGACATTTCGTCTCGTGTTTGTTGGAAAAGATTGTAATGCAAATCTCATGTACGGAAAATTGTTGAATTAAAAGTAGATACTAACATAATTTACAATGGTTATGCAGATTGGAGAGAGTGAAAATTAGTTGCCTATACAGCAAAATGAAGATTCTAGGCACAATTCTGTGTGTAGTAGGAGCTATCACACTGAGCGTAATGCCAAGCGCCGCCAGTCCTACCAAAACAGAAGCAGGGCCCCAATTTCGAGCTAGTTCTCCTGAATTTCTCTTGATAAGCAAAAGATTATTGGTTGCTTGTATCTCCTTGCTGCTGTGTTTGTTTTGTCCAGCAATATTGTCTTGCAGGTGAACATTTAACTAGGTTGAAAATAACTGTTAACGTTGGTTGTGGTCAGATTGTAAATCTGAATCACTGATATGGTTGGTTTTTAAAAATGTGCAGTACAGATTTACAGACTGACAACATAAGCATTTGTCTAGGAAAAGCAGATCATCCTTGCGTAATATTATATTTTGTTATTTATTAGTACTTTTTGTGATGTTTGACAGGCTACAACCTTGGGTGATTTTCCTCCACCTATGTCCCTGTGCGCCATAACATCTTTGATAGGAGTGCTTCTAACTGCAGCTGTACAATATGTTCAAGATAACCAAAATAGAAACTGGCTGGCCACTTGTGAGTGCAAGACAATTGATTGGCTTCTCTCTACTGGTGAGTACGCTTCTCCCGTCTCTTTTTTGATACTTTGGTATGCATTGAACGTATAATAAGTCATAATCCTAATCACTTTCTCCACCTGTCATCACTCCGGCTAGTCCCAAGGGCTTAGTATATATGACTGCGGCCTTTAACACCACTCTTTTAATCAAATCTTCACAGGGAGGTGCAGTGAGCGGAGCATGTGTGAGCTTCAACGGATGGGCAATGAAGAAAAGAGGTCCGGTTTTGGTTTCCATGTTTAACCCCATTGGAACAGTCTTCTCAGTTGTTCTCTCAGTTATAACATTGGGAGATGCCATTAGTGTTGGAAGGTACTTTATCTACTAAAGTAAATTTTCCCTCGTGATCTTTTTCGAAATTTTTGGGTTAATTTGTTGCTTTGGTCTTGAATAGTGCAGCTTTGCTGGTATGTGCCTCATGTTTACTGGGCTCTACTTCTTCCTATGGGCAAAGGGGAAGGAAGGCTACTTAAATGTGGTTGACTTAGAAAGTGAGTTTGATGCAGAGAAGCCTCTATTAAGTTGATATCATTGTTTGCGTATAGGTTTTTGTTTCAGTTTTAGACAGATAAGATAAAATAAAATTTGAAGGAATCGTTCTACGGGCTATAGACTAATCTGCCGTAAGGAATGTGCATGATTTCCACGCATAGTACTAGTGTTAATGTGACGATACAATTCGTATACCGAAAAATTCAGTAACATTGTTATAAATTAGCTTAATAATGCTCGACATTAATCAGCAAGAGTTCCTGCATTTTTAGCTGTGTTTTTGCGGAATGATGAAGGGGCAACAAATACCACTTGGAATATTTGACTTTATGTTGGAAAATTAGTTATTAGTTTATTTTTGTTTATGGTTTTCTTGTGGGATAAGGATATTAGAATTTTCCATATCCTTTAAGGGTTAGGATTTATGGTTTATTAGAGTTTTCTATATCCTTTAAAGATTAGGATTTTGCTTTAGTTTTCACTATATATAATAGAGCTTGTAATTTAGTTTTAGAATAAGTTAGTCACAATGTAGTCGCTTAGGGTTTTGTAGCCATTTTGGCATTCTCAGTTTGTTTAATAATATTCTTATTATTTTGTTAATCTTATTCGTTGCGCACTCTGATATTCAACTTGGTATCAGAGCAGGTTTGATCCTTCATGATTTAATCTGTTCTTGATTAGTGTCAATTTGTTTGTATCAGTTTTGTTTGTCAGTTTACTGGGTATTAGTTTTGTCCGTCGTCTTCTGCTCATCCGTAGTCAAAGTCGTTCTTGTCGCCACCACCGCACTGCAATCTGCCCAGATAACCCGCACCACCATCTCCACTGCTACATCCACACGTTCACAATACCTGCACCGACTCCTACCAATCGGATCTGTCACTCCCCTTCTGCAGGTTAACTTTGCACTAGAAGTTTTTTTTTTTTTTGCTGTAATTGGTTTTGCAAGCCTTGTTTGCTGCAATTGGTTTTGCTGGAAGAAAGGCAAAGAGAAGGAAGGAAGAAAAAGAATAACAGGAAAAAAAAAGGAAGAAAAAGAATAAGAGGAAAAAAAAAAGGAATAGAAAAGAAAAAAAGGAAAAAAAAACGTTGGTTTTTTGTTTGAAGGCCCACACGGGCAAGAAAGAAATATGGTTTGTTTGGCTTGTATTGGGAAGTCTGTTGTTGCCCACCGTGACGATCACTCGAGTGCTTGGACTGGTGATCATTTGAGTGACGTTACGAAAGTTGGATTTTTATTTTTTTGTTCAAGTTTCTTCGGAAGTTGGAATTTGCATTGGCATTGGCATCGACATCGACATCGGCATCAACATCGGCATCGGCATCGGCATTGGCATTAGCACTGGAATTTGGAGTCTTGCATCCACATCTACTTTGGCAAACTCATGTCTATGTTCCGCCATGAGTTTGACCGGGGGGGGGGGGTGTTGGAAAATTAGTTATTAGTTTATTTTTGTTTATGATTTTCTTGTGGGACAAGGATATTAGAATTTTTCATATCCTTTAAGGGTTAGGATTTATGGTTTATTAGAGTTTTCTATATCCTTTAAGGATTAGGATTTTGCTTTAGTTTTCACTATATATAATAGAGCTTGTAATTTAGTTTTAGAATAAGTTAGTCACAATGTAGTCTCTTAGGGTTTTGTAGCCGTTTTGGCATTCTCAGTTTGTTTAATAATATTCTTATTATTTTGTTAATCTTGTTCGTTGCGCATCTGATATTCAACTATAGAGATGGTGCTTGAGAAGAGTATGGATATGGGCGAGACATTTCAAATCTAGGGTTTTCTTTTCTTATATATTTGGGAAAGCTACACATAAAATATGTAACCTACAAGTTGAGCATAAAGAAAAAAAAAGACTCATTTGGCAGGCACTCTTTCAGGAGGAGTTACTAATTAAACACTTAAAGACCACACTGTTGCATCATTTTTGAGTCATTGGGTCAAATCGACGTGTTCGGGCTAGATCTGTCCCTCACACAACTCTCCTTGAGTCTGGCATGTCGGGCAAGGCTCACTACTTGGTGTACTGCAATATGAGTTTATTATTAGTTTTAATGGTGTATTTGTGGGGCCTTTGTTAGGCCTTGAGGCTCACAATCAAAACTAATATGGGTCTGAACGTGCCACCATTATCTTTGTATAACATATTGTTCTTTTTTAGTTATTAAATGTATTGATTACTTTCGCCACAAGTTATCTGGACTTCTTAGTTCGTTTGGATTGTTTACAAATGGGTTAAATCTGTATAAAGTTCTTTTTCTTGCCTTGTAAACAAGGACTTTTACTCATAATATCATATGTCCAAATAAGGGCAGTTAAGGGCCCTTCAAAATATATCAACAGCTTTAGGCTAACAATAAAGAAGCAAGGTTAATTAGTTTAGCAAGATTAACCATAACTTTGAATGAAAAGTAGTCGAAAATGAGATAGGATCAAATGAAAGATGCATAAACAACTAATCTACTTTATGTAAGTACAAACAAAAGAGACTTGGGCATGATTATGACCTTGTTAGGCAAGGTTCATCTTCTTGCAACTACTTCTCTTTGTGTTTTACAGGGGTTGTAGTCTTTGGAGAATAAAATATAAATCGGGTTTACTAAAGAGATTCGATACTACAACATAGGGGAAAGGTAGCAGAGCTTCTAAAATTTGACAAAAGATGACTTTCTATAGTGAACCTGTGGCTAAAAGGGTAAAGTTTGAACAAACTAAAGCTTTTCTAGTTTCTGGCTTGTTGGAGTGCAGAGTTGAATGTCTTTTGATTTATTGGTTGAGTGTTCTTCTTCCTTGTGTCCCTCATTGCTTTTATAGGCTTTCTAGCCCGACTGTCCAAGCCCCCCTTTTGGTGATGGTCTCCAGAGTATGGTGAGTCACCATCTGTTTTTGTTATTTGCCTATTCATGCCTTGGAAAAATACTTTTTGCTAGAGGGGTGAGCTGCCCTCTGTCACCTGTCACTTCCCACATAGGCTTGCTACTTATTTCATGGCACTAATGAATTTCAATTCTTAATGGGCTGCCAACTGTCCGAGCCCAATCCTTCTTCTACTTTTTGTTTTCTTGGGCCTTTAGTCATACTAAGCCCAACATTAAATATCCACGCAAACAGTGCCCCCTTTAATCATTATTAAGTATGCTAATCAAGACATTGATAATGATTCAAATCAATCGCTTGCCGAAACTGGGTATTAACACCTCTTAATTAGCCGTTTCAAATAAACTATTGCATTATCCCACAATTTCCAACGCTAACTACCTGGCCATTAAATAACTTCCATTTCACTACCTTTAGCCATTTCCTTCACGAAGCTTGATTCTTTGAACTACCAAATTCTCTTGAATTTTCATCCCTTTATTGCCTTAATTTCTAGCCACTTTTCACAATTTCTATCAAATTCAACAATGGCTCCCAATCGCACCCTGCATGCGAGTCTAGAGACAGACTATGGTATATCCAATCCCTTCCCAGCAACGCCCTATAAGTAAAGCTGTTGTTTACTACAAAGAATGCCATCATAATCTTCTTGGATCCCAAGTTTACTTCTAAGGGCAGTATCTTATGTGTTTTAGTGATGGCCCTAGAAAAACTAGACAATGTGAGATTAGTGGGAATAAGGTCTTCCTCGCCTCTACAAAGTTTCTTTATCTGTTTAAGTGGTAGTACATTAACTGTTGCCCCTCATCTATCAACACCTTTTTAAAATGGACCCCTTCTAAATGAGCTGTCATATATATAGGCTTTAGATGGTTTGCTAAGGCCAAACTTGGTTTTTTTTAATACCATCTTATCACAATAAACTCTCTCAGGCTCTTTTTGTGTGGGGTTGGGCAAGTTTTCCAAGCTTGACTCCTCCTTACTAACTTCTTCAATGTTTACAAGAGTCATCATTGGCTCTTGTGCCAAATAATCATCCTCCATTATAGCATAGAGGACAGTACATAGGTCATGTTGACATAAAAGTTGCTAAGTCTAGGTGTTCCTTTATTCTTCTCCCCAATCTGGCACAAAAACTGATCCATCCATGCTTGGGCATCTTTGCTTAACATCAACTCGGGCACTTCCTCTTCTTCTATTATGTTGAAATTATATAGTTTTCCAAAAGGAATATCCTCTTATAGTGGTGGAGGCACCCTTCTTTCAGGAGAAATGGTTCCAAAACAAATAGGCGATGGATTCCAACTTGGTGTAGGTACCATCACCATACTTTCTTTCATTCTTCTCAATACCCTTTATTTCCCTGGATAAGGGATTTGAGGAACATGATCCCCTTCGCCTTCAACCTTGCTATTAGCCTTTTTTACTTATTTCCTGTTTCTCCAACTAGGTCGCCTCTTTCCTCCTTGGGTAAACTCCTCTAACTTAACATTCTCAAAAGCTTCTGAAATAGCAGGAATTTTTAGTGAGTTCATATTAGCCTTATGTTGCCTATGAACTCTTCTTATCATGGATGCCTCCATTTGTATGACAGGTCTTCCGTCTTTGCCCATTCTGTACCATTTTTAGCCCAGTCGGACTAAATTCACCTTTGTAACTGGTGTCAAGCTCATGGTTCTTTCTCGCCTTCCTTGTCTCATGCTGCCGTGGTTGGTTGGCTGGGGAGCCTTAACATCCACCCAGCATGGTAACCTTATGTCTTTATCTTCCACTTCTTCAAAGGCTTCAAAGTTTCTAAACAGTTTAGATAAACTCTTAGGCTTTGAATCTCCTTTCAACCTTTGGAACACCTTCTTAGTAGTCTCTTTATTTGTTTTAGTAGCCTGGAGAATACTCATGCGGGCATCATGTTGTTCTACTTCTTTCCTTCTGACCAACTCTCGATCAATGATGACACCTGATGCTGGTACCTTAAACTCATATTCACATTGACATCTACTACACAAAACCACTCATTTGACCACAGTTGTTTGGGGCCTGTCGGGTAACCTTATGGTGCCTTCTATTGGCTTACGTACCTGCCTTCTTTCTCCTTTTTCATCCAGGGTAACTTTTCCCTTCCCCCTCTTAACCCAATTAAGATTTATAT